GTCCGGCCTGGTACGAGGGCTACAACGAAGGTGTTGTCAGGATCGGTCGGATAACATCAAAACAATGGACAATTGTTGGGACGCTTACGGGTTCAGCAGGGACTGGAGGTTCAGCTGGGACTGGCATCGAAGATCCCACATTATTAACCACTGTATTGACCACTGTAGCGATAGGAGATGTGGGTGATGCTAATGCACTGTCTTGTGATGTGCTACTACTAGTGATGAGATGTGAATTGTCTCCTCCAATAACGATACTAGTAGTAAACTAAGTAGAGATTCGTGTTAGAATTGTGAAAGTCGACTAAAGTCTACTTGCTTCATGCTTTTCTTACCGAAAGGTCTGCGGTGGTTGCGTTTGCTGTCTCTTGACGACGTGGTTTGAAGAAGGCACCAATCTTGCTCCTTAACGTGTCCATAGTAAGCAGCAAGTAGTACTATCGGAGTATCGATGAAATCTTCGGCATCCCTCCTATACTGTGTCCGCCATTGGAGGTGTACACGATCAACGAACACCACTAAATGAGGCTCAGTTAAGCTCTCAAGAAGCAGAAGAGTGTTTCAGTAGACAGGGGAGGAGGCCATTAATGCAGTTTCCATCGCGTTTTAAGCAAGATTGAATTCTCCCTGAGCCTACAATCGGTGTCCCTGCTGAAAAATCTTCATTTGCGCCAGAATCCAAACACGACCAGTTTAAAACGAGTCTGGCGCGCACTGGTTGCAAGCTGCAATCGCCCGCCAATCCATAGCTCGTATCTGATACTTTGTCGGAGTAGCTACAGTCAAAACGGTCAAATAGATTGATACAGATGACGAATCGTTTGGACGGTCTTGTTCGAGCAATAAACCTTTCTAACGAGCCCTAGCGCTCAGTAATACCAAGAAAACAATACTTTAATTTATTTCTGAGCATCTGATACATGAGCATTTACCATCCGACTCGTAATCGAGTCCTCTTCTTCTATGTCACGTTGCAGGACCTCCATACGATGAACCATTGAGGCCAGCTCAACCATAAATTCCAGAGCTAATGTCGAGGGCTAATCAGTGACATTTACAGACTCCGAAGAGGAACACACAGAGTCATTACCTTGATGAAACTTTGGCTGAGCGGTTCGTAGCGATGAAGGCACCAACATTCCATACCATCTTAGTGGATTAGAATGGATTGGCTTCTTTACTGGTGGTTCTTGTATCGTGTCCTCCTTGTCCTCGTCTTCTGCATCCTCATTATCTGAATCGGTACAAGGTTTCAGTTTCCTCCGTTGTCGCAGGGATTGTAGAGTTGGTGATGTCGGTTGTGATGGTCGTGTCGAGTTAAGAGTAGATTCCAAGGCATAAATGGAGGTATTCGTCTCATCGACCGATCTACAACATGTAAGAAACATTGAGTGACATTGCTCACGTCAATCTGATGTCCAAAAATGCTCTATGCCACAACGTTTACATGGTTGAAGTAGCCTGCATCCGCTGATCATATTGATACTGAGTAATATTGCCTGGTCCTAGGATGTACTTTGCGTGTCCCAAGTCCAAGTATGCCTAGTAAACGATGTGTTAGATCAAATCTCGATGAAAACAACCAAAACACTTACAGCTGATAGTTCTTTTGAGAGCAATTTGTACAGCTCTTGATGCGCGTCAAGCAAATCTAGAAGCTGCTCTGTCTTGCAGGGTGCCATTATGGGTGTTATGGTATCTATGAAGCTCGTTAAAACTTGTGGGTGTTTGGAGCTTAGCAAAGATGAGTGGAGGAGCATCAAAAGGAGGACGGTAGCGACTCCTATGAACGCGTAGGAATTTCAAAACGCGAGCTGGAACGCGAGTCCTTTCTAACGCTTGCTCAAAGCGATGACAACTGAAATTTCATTCATCTTTCAACTCGATTTTCTTTTGGTAGGCGTTTGATCACTTCTCGGACGATTGCAGGACAGCTGATATTGTACATATTGAACCACGTTGGATCTAATTATGGCCTTCACCTTTCCTCAATTGTCGGAAATCGAGTTATCCAGCCATCCAATGTTAAAGACATTATTAAAGGACAATGCTATATATCAAAGTGTGAGAGCACTGCTCAGATCTAAAAGGGTACATATTCGTTGCCTTCCTAGTCTGCCCATTTGCTGGTTTTGGTTCCATGCTTGACAATCAACTGATAACATTTGTGTTGCTAGGCACTGGTGATGTTACCAGTGAAGGAAGCATGTCCGACTACTATCTCAAGGCTGTTTATCGAAGCTCACGCATTTCTAGTTAATGCCAAGAACACTCATCAACTTGTCAGCTTGGCTGGACTCAAGGCTACAATCGTCGGGTATGAGGGTTAGATCAAGTCAAGATCACACTCATCTGCCTGACTGTTATACATTGTTTTTAGATCAAATATCGTCTTCACTGGCAGGACAGATGTAAACATGTTCAATCTGTCAACTAATGCCACAGACCTGGCCTCGCTATTCGAACACTTTCTGCCCGAAGCTTCGATAGATATAAATACAGTTCCACACGTAGTCCCAATCTCCGAAAACCGATATCTGCATGCTCTCGAAGATAACGAATTCATAGAAGTCATACTCATGAAACGAAGTATAACCGAGGATGATGGAAAACCACCAGGAAAACAAACTATAAAGCAATCACCATTACAACAACCATCCTATTCAATACTCCCATCCTTTTTATCCAGAGATATTGTATCGCGCAACGGTGATGTAGCGCTGGGATTAGAGGACTTACCCGCTCCACAAGACGCCGAAACAACGTACTTTCTCGATACTGTGAAGACACCGTCCTTCACGTCCATACAGCTCGAAACCAGTAAATTCCTCTTGGAAATGGAAAAGTCAAACAAGCAGGGATTCACCTCATCGTCCCTCGAACTTCTGATAAGACTGTTTTTTGAGCGAATGAATAGAAGTCTGAGTGAATCTGCAATATTCGCTGCATTCAGAGACCACGATGAAGACGGTGTACGAAGAATGATGTCTGGACTATCTACATATGTTTTGACACGATGCCATGACTTGAATTACGAGAGTGTCTTGTCAGATACTGGTAGATCTGACGATGAAGTATTTGCACGTAGAGTGTCTGTCCTAAATGTTATTGGATTCGATCTAGAAGAATTGGGATTGGTTGTGCATAATCGCGCAGCGTTGAAGGATTTGGTTAAGGCTGCTGGAATAGGTACATACGCCATGTCGCTCATACAAGTTTTTTGGCCCCGTTGGCAACACCCCCAATGCTAATACTATACTGATATAGAACTGACGAGATTTGAACGTGCCCGATGCCCACAGCAGAAACTGTCTGCTGTTGTGCGAGCTCATAGATGTATAGCTGAAGCGATACCGCTGTTAGATATTCATGAAATGGATGATGATCCTTTAAACATACAGCAGCGCAAGTCTAATGCTGATGACATGCTGCCTGTGTTCATATATGTGTTGCATCGGTAAGAAACTCCACCCAAAAATGAAAATGCGCACTCGTGTAGCAGAATGACGATTAACACCTTCACATGTGTCTTTTCTTGACATTGTTAGAGTCAACATACCGCATCTTAAGACAAACCAACGATACGTCCTCCACTTCTGCCCTCCGATAAACATGGCTGGAGATGCCTCGTACTGCTGGACGAATTTCTGTGCTGCCATATCCTTTTTGGAATCGTTTGATTTGAGAGAACTTGGTTTGGATGCTGAAATCCTGGCCGGGTAAGCTACGTGTATACGTTAATTCAACATGATCTTGTTTATGTATATTTTTGCTGAACCTTAGACTGACGATTGAACCAAAACAACTGTGGGATCCGTTAGCAAGAAGTCCGTACAGAGAACCGAGACCCCAGCAGCATCCCTCTTCAACAACAACCGCAAACACATCACCATCTGCATCATCTGTAGCACCACAATCATCAAACTACTCGTCAATGATAACGAATGGTGTATCTGGAGTTGTGAACGGGGTAGTAGGAGCAGGTCTTGGAGTTTTGGATGTAGGGAGTAGTGTAGCTTCTAATTTATGGCCATTCAGTGTGAGACGCGTGCCCTCCACGATGGCAATTGGTAGCAGCAGTAGTACATATGCGAAGGAAGCTTTGAAGGAATCGCCGCTTGTGACGATGACTACAACGGAAGGAAGTGTTGATACAGATGGATTGCCTTATTCGCCGACGAGGAGGAGGGAGATGCGGTTGGCTGAGGGGAAGAGTGATAAACAACAGTTGTAATGTATAGGTCATTGGCGTCTGCAGTGCTTTTTTGTATATTTGGCATTCATTTCAAACAGAGTATGAAGTAGTAGAGTTTGGGTAGGAACACCATGTGTGTTATTTAGTAAGTTTGTCTAAAGTGATGCAGAGAGAGTGTTGGTAACAACACAAATTGCAGATGCAAAGTTTTTGTTATAATCTAGGAATGAAATCACGTTCATGACGAACAAGCGCCGGTGTGATTTCACTGATATTTCGTGTACCGGCAAGTGCCATTGTCAATTCCAGTTCGGTACGCAAGATGTTGATTAGGGCAACGAGGCTGTCTTCGCCTCCTGCAGAGAGACCGTATAGCACTGGGCGGCCTATAAATACAGCGCGAGCTCCTGTGTTTGTGTTGGAATTGATGGTGAAAATGAGTGAAAGGATGCGCGAAAAAAATTCCAGGAAAAGGACAAAGCAAGGATGTGGGTACCTAAAGCAAGACACTTGAAAGCATCACTACCCTTCCTGACACCTCCATCGACATACACTTCTACATTTGAGCCTAGCACGAGATACACATAACAATGTGAGATCATGGTTGGCATATAGCAACATAAAAGTTCAGCTGTTGCGTCGAACAAATAAATCTAGCCGATATGTGGCGTTCTTTTCGCTCGACCAAAGGAAAGCAGGCCCTACCTTTGAGTGCCTGAACGATTTCAGGAAGTACTTCCATTGCTGATGGTGTTGAGTCCAGTTGTCGACCACCGTGGTTTGATACGTAGACTGCTGATATGCCACTATTGAGCAAAAGTCCGTGTGAGACAATAAAAGGCTGTCACGCACAATCACTCACTGATGAGCAGCCAACAATGCATCTTCAGCAGTCAGTATTCCTATAAGACCAATCAAGATTGAGTTACAACGAAAAACACAGTAGTAGCGTCGTTTAATGTCCAACCTTTTATGACAATAGGCAACTTGGTGATACTTTTAATCCAATCTATATCCGTCTCCCAATTCAACGTCGTGTCGCTGGTGCTTGATAGCACTTGAGTCCATGTTTGGGTTCCTTCTGCTGGGTTGATGTTGATTCCGTCGAAGGATTCGAGAGTGTATTCAGGTGGTAGGTTGAATTTGACTACGATGAAAAGCAAAGCAGTCAGAGATGTGGATCATTGCGTGCTCATAATGAATGCATACCTCTCAGATCTGACAGCCGTCGACCCAATAAAGGAGAATCCACGGTAAGAACGATTGCTTTGTAACCTGAGGCTTCAGCACGTCGAATCAGAGTCTCTACGTAAAAGGTTGTATGTGTGAACGATTCTTCGGCATTGTGTATCTGTCAAGGGCCGCTTTGTTGTTACCAGAAATGCGTCGATCCTTATACACATAAAGCTGGAAGAATTTGAGTGCAGAAGGCAGTATGTCTTCTGACGCGGCAGCAACCGATTCCAAAGATCGTGTCGAGTACGTAGACAGCACCATACACGTCTTACTCCTTGCTGCAGCTAAAGACGAAAGAAGACGTCAAATTAAAAAACCTGACTGCTTTGCGCCAGTTTATTCCAACATCACACCTCGTGAAGTTGCTAGCTCTCCTTCGTCATGACACAACCGTTGCATTGCTGAGGGTGCGATGCATATTGGCATGGATATTGGGTACCCGAGAATGGACGTTTTGGTATCGATTTTGGATACGTCTCGTAATATCCTAGGTCTTATTCTCCATTGTTTGAAGGATGTGAGGTTTAGAGCGAGTGTTTCTTCAGAGTCTGCTCCACCTAAGATGGAGTGTTTTTGAGTTTTTTAGTGTTTTTTAAAATGGATAGTTCTGATAGCTGTACGTGACTCGTGGTCAAGTGAAGGAATTGAATGCATTCAAGATTGGATGTGCGTGTTGCAAAACACACCCATACGGATCAATCTTTAAACGATGCAGAACTGAGGTGTACTTGCAAACGTTCGAAAATAGCTTACTTTCATAGTATGATTTGGTGTTTGTTGTCCAAGTTTTCCTGGCATTTTGAGCCCAATCGTCGACGCAAACGAATTTATCGTAGACTGGAGCCATGATTGTCGTGAGATGTGATATCGACGCAATACACACGTAGATCCTGGCAGTTCTGTTCTGAATTGCGTTGAAACTGTCAGCACTTACACCTCCCTCTCATGTTGTCGGAGCCTGAATTTCTGTGTGCTCGAAAAAAGAATTGTTTGCTCTACTACACTTTCCAAAAAACACTCTTCCATCATATAGAGAGATAATCAAGTACAGGTACGTGGTAAACAGATGCATCCGATTTAATTTCACGCTTGACACTTGTATGTTCTGTCATTGTCTTTTGAGCTCACACACTTTTCTCCAAAATCAAATCAGTAGATAATCAAAAATGGTTGCTTCAGCTGTCGACCCTTGGGTAATAGGCTACAGCAACCACATCTATCGTGTATAAAATACTTATCAACTAATGCTTCTCTATAGAATGCCGAGCTCAACGTGCCTCTGGAACAAGAGGACCCAGAAATCTTCAACTTGATTGAACATGAAAAGATGCGTCAATTCTCGTGCTTGGAACTCATCGCATCTGAGGTATGAGCTACATACTATTACTTGAACTGTCTTGGCTTGCTCTATCTCCTGTGTTTATCACACTCAAAAGGCACCAGTGCCATCCTCATGTCTCGCTTGAAAAAATTGTTTTCGAATCACACAAAACTAAGCATACATCCTTCATGTAGAACTTTACGTCTCAAGCTGTCATGGAAGCAAATGGTTCGGCATTGACAAACAAGTACTCTGAAGGTAACATATGTTTGACTCGTGTCATTGATGATGGGTAAAAAACGACGACGATAATTACACAAGACCACTCGTAGGTCTGCCTGGAGCTCGTTACTATGGTGGTAACGAATACATTGATCAAGTCGAAAACCTCTGTCGCAAACGTGCTTTGGCAGCATTCAACTTGGACCCTGAACAATGGGGTGTCAATGTGCAACCTTACTCTGGTATGTCGTTTTGAATGTATTATCAACAACGCAACAACAAAATCTTGAATAATCGTGCTAAACACTTCCACAATCACTTGATTAGGAAGTACCGCCAACTTCTCAGCCTTCACTGCTATCCTCCAACCTCACGACCGTATTATGGGTCTGGATTTACCTTCTGGTGGACAGTATGTTTCAACAGTTGGCGATGCCCCAAAAACGATCCGGTTTTGATACCAAATCCCGTTTGCTTAGCTTGACTCACGGATATGCCACTGCCAAGAAGAAGATCTCAGCTTCTGCCATATACTTTGAATCTCTACCATACCAAGTTGACCACGTAAGTCGAAAGTCGCGCATATAGATGGCCTTTCTTCCTGTTGCTGCAAAAAGGGCTACATCTATTTGGAGTCACAACTGACGTTTCGATAATTCATAGAAAACTGGATATGTAGATTACGACAAGTTGGAATCTACTGCTGCCCTATTCCGTCCCAAGCTTGTTATTGTTGGTGCCAGTGCATACCCTCGTGAATGGGATTACCCACGATTCAGAGCTGTGAGTATTCTGCATGCGTCGTGACTGTTTTTTTTTGGGACTGTTGCTGCATCACTATATCTGTGATGACACCTATGGAGACTGAGTGATAAGCATGCAGAGTTACCATACATTTTATGACTACAACGGTATCTGAGATGTATTGATGCAGCATACAAGTCGAGTGCATACCTATGTTGTTGGATTCCGTTTTTTTGATATCATTAAAACCAGTTTGTATGGCAGCAAAGTGACTGAACTCCATCTTTTCCGTCATTGCAGATTGCTGACCAACACGGTGCCTACATGATGGCCGATGTAGCCCACATCTCTGGTTTGATTGCCGCCAAGGAAGCAGCAAACCCCTTCGACTATGCCGACATTGTCACCACAACCACACACAAGACCCTCCGTGGTCCTCGTGCAGGTCTCATCTTCTTCCGTCGTGCACCAAAGGGACAAAAGAACTCTGACTTGGAAGAGCGTGTCAACCAAGCCGTCTTCCCTTCAAACCAAGGAGGACCACACAACAACACTATTGCTGGTATTGCTGTTGCTCTAAAGCAAGTGGCATCACCTGCATTCAAGCAATATGCTCAACAAGTACGAGCTAATGCCAAGGCATTGGGTGAATACTTGAAGGAACAGGGTTATAAGATTGTGACGGATGGTACTGATAACCATTTGGTGTTGTGGGATTTGAGACCTCTTGGATTGACTGGGTCAAAGATGGAGAAGATTTGCGATGTCGTCAAGTGAGTTATGTTGGCTTGTATTGTGAACAACCGCATGCGTGCTCGTCCTTTTTCGCACACACTCAGCGAATTAGCTAACACTCCTCCACTTCGTAGCATTACATTGAACAAGAATGCTGTACATGGTGATGTATCTGCATTACAACCTGGAGGGGTCCGAATTGGTGCTCCAGCATTGACATCTCGAAGCTTCAAGGAAGAAGACTTCCGAAAAGTCGGTGAATTCCTACACAAGACTGCTGTCGTTGCTCTTCGTATTCAATCTACATCTGGCAAGATGCTCAAAGACTTTGCTATTGCCTTGGAAACTGATGTTGAAGTCAAGGTAATTAATTAATGGTTGCAGGTTTGGGGGTTTTTGCCTCTCTTCTAAGGCTCATTACGGACTCGCTTTTATGAATGTAGGCACTACGAGCGGACGTGGAAAAGTTCGCTCAGTCCTTCCCCATGCCTGGCTTCGACTCGGCTAGTATCAAAGCCGTGAATGGCATGCACCATTAAGTAGTCTTGTCTCTTTCTTCCATATCCAGTGTTGTGTGTGTTGAAGTTTGTACAGTTGGTGAAAAGATCATTATGAAGGGGGTGTTTTAAGGTGTTTGAGGGGAGGAAGGGAGAGCTTTTTATGGGAGAGTAAGAGGAAAGCTGATGCTGCAACAATTGCGCACGCTTTGGATATTATTAAAGAGAGAAAGAAACCTCTTACTTGATAAAAACAGTATTCGTTGTAATTTTTCCCCAAATTTCCCTTTTTGCAGAAGCAACCCAATAACATTTTAGAGTATCTCATGAAATCCTTCAGTAATTTGCACTTGTTGTTCATGTCTGAGCACATGTTTCTCATGCTGGGATGCTGGCTCGGTTGCTTCCTTGGAAACCACAAAAGTTCCGTAAAGGGAGCTCGCCCTTTTTCGCATAAACGATCAATAGCGCTAATAGTGTGCACCGGTAGATAACAGATCAAAGCTATGAGACAAACCATGTCTCCCATCTCTGGCCTCCTGCTCCTCGTCTCCTTCCTGATTTCATCAGCTAGATCTGCAAGTGTTGGACGAGTCGACATTTGTGGCATAACAACAGATGGAACGACACTTGATGCCACTATGCCTAGCTCTCTAATCACTTTGTGAGTTGGTTTCGAGGGTGGATCTAAGCAGATCTATGTGTTTGATGTTGCTTTGCTGCAGACATTAAGCGCTAACTTTTTTTGGCTTGCCTGATGTATGAGACATGACATCTAATGTTACAATTTTCGACGATAGAAACAACACTGTAGTGAATTTTGATGGTCCTACCATGACATTGGCATTAACAATGTCTGGATTGCTGGCTTCACCTATTGGAACGGCGTGTGTTGGACAGGGGTGTGGAGCTAATCCTCAGAGTACGGAATCAAACCGGATAGAAGCTTTTTTTGGCACAGAGATGGCTGACAGTTTTATTCTCATAGTGTTGATCAACATCAAAACATTCGGAATGGTGTTGATTACAGCTACAGCTCCACTATGTGCTCTAGTGTCATGTCCCATGCAAGCTGGTGATTTCAACTTTACTTATGTAGGTCATGAATTCGAGATTCTAGAGTTTTCTTTGCCACCATGATTATTCAGGCTTGTCTGAAACGCATGAAAGCTTTTATTCAACTCTTCATGTCTTCGATAGTCATTGACGTTACCAGTAACTGGACTCCCACCGTCGCTCTTCTCAAGTGGTGGACCACCGATTCTCGAATTCGATATCAACACTCTGTGGTATTCAGATCCTGCTGTTTCACCTACATTCAAGACTGATTTCTTGGTGTCGGGCGCTACAGCCAATAACTTCATTTCGTGTAATACGATTCGGTTTGGTATGTGTCGTATTGTTTTTCAAAATGCAAAAAAGAACTGTTCTCTCTATATGACATCATAGCTGATTCACTCTGTCTCTCACAACAGAAATGCGAAACACAGCATATAACCTCGGCCTATCCCTCGGCACGGCCGGCGTTGCCATAATCTCTGGAATAGCCACAATCCTTGCCTCAGCATCGAACATTGCATTCAACACCCTCGTATCCCGAGACGTGACATACAATCCAGACCCAGTTACAATTATCATGTTTGTGCAATTCGCTTCTAGGTTGGGACAATTGTCAATTGATTATCCACCTACGTATCAAGGATTTACCGGCAAATTGGGATGGGCTTCGTTGAGTTTTCCGTGGACGACACTGCCTGCTTATTTGCAGCCTGCTTCCCAGATGGTTACGGTTGTGAGTGGAGCTGCTAATGAGGCTTCGTTTCCTATTTTGAAGAAGAGGGGGGCTGATTATTCTAGTTCCGGGTTGGGTGTTGTTACTGGCTTGGACCTGTAAGTTATTCTGAAGCACTCTATCAATTTTTTTGGCGACGGTGCAGTTCTAAGTAATTTTTTCATTCCAGATGGGCACTGATTGTCGGCGTAGCACCTGGATCGCTCCTATTCGGAGTCCTATCTGTCTTGGCCATCGCCATCGGAGCCGTCGTCATTGGCCTACCAGTCTTTACCCTCCTCTTATCACGCTCCATGATCAAAACCGACTCTGTCGAATCATTCTTTGGAGCATTCAAAAAACTCGCCTTTTATTTCTGTGGTATCCTCACACGGGTATTCATCGTCGCCATGATTCCTGTCCTCACAGTCAGTTTCAGAACCTTCCAAACTCAAGCTACAAGCCTCAACTTTATCATTGCAATTATCGCTGTTGCGCTTTACGCGATCTTGTTGATTGGTGCTGCAGCTGCTATTGTGCATACCAAGAGGAAGGATCTTGATTCGAGTGATTCTAAAGTTAATATTATTTTGGGACCATTGTTTGCTGTGTATCATCCCATGGATTGGACCATGTTCTTTGTGGACTATGTTTACGGAATTGGACAGGCTGTTGCTGTTGGATTGTAAGTGTTTTGTGGATGCGACAAAAAAATGCGTACCGTGCGGATTATTAATACTCTGAACTCTTAGAATTGGATCTAACGGTCTCGCTCAATGCATCATTCTTGGATCGACGGAAGTTATTATGCTCTTCTTTTACGTTATCTTGAGACCACGTAAAGGAGTGTTTGCCAATATCGTACTCATCTTGACAAGTATTATACGATGTGCCTGTGGTAAGTATTTTGAAAGCTTTTATCTATGACTCGGTTGTTGTAGTGCTTTTGTTGGTGCATTTAGCTCACATGTCTTCTATGCTCCTTTCAGTGGGAATTGCATGGACTTTTTTGCCTCGTTTCAACTTTACCAATGACATGAAGGCAATGCTTGGATATGGTATGTGCTTTGAAAGATGAGAAAAAAACCGCTCCGAAAAATCGCTCCATGCTCTGTAGCTCACACGTTTCCTCACCTCCTCAACAGCCGAAATAGCACTCTTCCTAGTCCTCATGATCGTATTCCTAATCATCTCGCTCATCAACCTCATTCGCGGCATTGTCTTTGCCATCAAGAGCTGCCATAGAAGCCGCAAGACACACCGTGTTTCACCTATCGTCTACACAAATCAAAACAAGAGACCGCCATACTGGAGGTCGAAGGTACATCCATCATCGGAGAGCGAAGAGGGTGGAACTAGATTGCTGGCTAAGAATAGGAAGGCGAAGAAGAGTGCTGCTATGTCGCCAGCATAAGGATTTAGTGGAGGACCTTTTTTTGTCGACTTGTTACGTTGAAATAATAGAAGGATACGTGTTGGTCTCGGTACTATTTTGAATTTGGTTTGAAAGCTGAAAAAGAGTGGAGTCAGTGGTGAGCTCGATGCGAACAAAAATTCTGGGAAGTTGGTGTTTTTGGATGAAGACTCCAATATCATGCAGGTGATATTTTCCTCGAGTGCTTTATTCTGTTGTTCTGCATTGAAAGCAGACCGGTTTTCTGCGCCCACCACGTAGCCAAAGATGGGCGACAATCATGGTGAACTTTTCAATCTCGAAAATGGCAATCCAAAATATCAATGTATGTTGATCACTGGCTTTCTACTCGAATTTCTAAGATTTCATGACAATTGAAACGAAAGGGAGGAAACCCATTCGGTAAGAATGCACGGTGTTGATCCGAAGAGTGGTTTTGAAACGGAGAGCAAGGACCAAAACGCAAAACGGTATTTTGATTGTTAAATATATAGCAATTGGGCTGTCTTTTGCGCTCAGTTGATCGGTAAATAAGGGCAGAATGTGTCTTTGCGTCTGCCTGTTTCGAAAAATCTGTGCGCGGTGTAAAGAAGACCCTCCATGGTCTTGAGTAAAGAAGTGAAAAAGTGAAAAAGTTGCATATCCATATCTGATCTCATAGATGAAGAGATCTCGTGATTCCTTCAATGATTTGTCCTGTAAAAACTCGGGAGCAAAATTGAAAATGATTCTTTGAACGGCTTGATGAGACCGCCTTACGCTGCACGCTATTAGAGACTGGTTGAAGTCACCGTATGCACGTATGCACTGTAACGACTCAATTTAGATTGTTGGGTATCTGCACATTCTGCTTTTCCATGTTGGCCCAAAATCACAGTCAGATTGATGACGGAGCTAACAACGCTTTAGAACGAATTGTGAACTCTCTGGCCTGTGTAATCTGACCAAAAAATACATAAATGGCCTTGAAATTCCAGAAATATCAGTAGTGTGCCGGGAAGATGTTGATTGCTCTTGAGCGATGTCTAACAGTGGATGTTTCTCCAAATACTAACACGAGAAATATAGCAGGGACGCCGACATGAGCAGCCATATTCAATTCCTGAGACGTCCTCGACGCGTCCGTCCCGTAGCAATTAGAAGGGCCGCCAGAAAATTGACTTTGAAGCAACGCAGAGTAAATTTTGTAGATTTTGTAGCTGATGCGAGGCTCCAAGTTCATAATGACTAGACTTCCAATTAAAGGCTTTGTATAGCAGTAAATCTCTAGCAGATTGACGCCTTCAAGCGACGTGAATCTCGTTGTTTGGTCCCATATTGAGCATTTTTTGGCCCAAGAACTCGAAAACTTCGTTGCTCTGTTGAATTGGCACTTTAGCATGATTTGAACGAAAAAAGGTTGTATCCTCTTAGGAAAATATTGAAATGCAATTCAGAACGTGAATCTTACTACCTTGTCTGCTTTGAATGGGTTGAATCCTTCGTCAAAATGGAATTTCAACAAAAATCCACATCGTGAAAGTAATTCACTAGATGACGGAGACCCTAGGAGCTCAGAACAGTGATGGACTGTGCTCGATGCTTCTAGGTTCGTCTCCCCTTTACTAAAGTTTAAGAGGTGGCACCCTCGCATTTTCGCACATTCGTCAAAATATGGCGACTTACTTTTCAAATCACGTCAACCACAATACACAACACACAACACAACATACAAGTTTTCAAAACAAAACCATTTTTTTAATCCTCAAAAAAATCATATTCCCTCTCCTGCATACAATACAATCTCAACAATGGCATTCGGTGACGCATCCATCACACCACACCCAAACTTTTGTCCATTCAGCACCAAATCATCATCATCGTCCCTATCTGAATGTCCAGTCACAGGAAACCAAAAGAAATCCAAACTCGCGCTACGAGGCACCTTGGAACCACTCACTGAACAAGACCATCATCTCTCCACTCTCCTGTCACAACTACAAGTCATTCCAACACATAGAACTGATCCATTGGACATATCATTCAATTGGAATGATGCTCTATCTGGCGCTACAGAGACTGGCGATTTGCCATACTTTATTGTGGCGTTTCGGTCAAAGAGGAAGAGTGATGCTGATACTTTTGCGTTGATGGAGGGTATGTATAAAGTGTTATTTCGCCAGTTGTGTATGGGGAAGAAGCTATTCATATGCTCATACTCTTCATACACCTTCTAGCTGATCGTCTGGCTCACGAGGAGGCCAAATCAAAAGGAGGGCTACTCTCATATTGGTATACAACTCTTGACGATCAGCGCCAATGCCTTGCGATGTGTGTGTGGAAATCTAGAGACTGGGCTGTACTCGCAACAGAGTGAGTTATGCATTGACGAGATTTTGTATTCAAAGCTATTCCATGTATTGAATCACCCTCTAACTTTTTTGCTCCTCTTGTAGTGGCCCATTACATGCTCAAGCCATGAGACTCACTTCCAGAATGTACGAGCACTATACCCTTGAAAGGTGAGCTTTGCAAGGAAATGTTGGGATTCGAGAACTTGACACTGACGTGTCGTTTTGTTAGATATTGGCTTCACATTCGCAAAACTGAAGATGGATCAACAAAGGTCGAGATTGAAACCATATGAGACAGGAGATTCGATGCTGTGTACATAATTATAGAAAGTGTATAGAATCCATGATGACCTCGAATTGGTTGTACGTTTTACCACAATTTTTTTTGGTTGATCAGACGCGCTCGTACGGTTCCAAAGCCACTAGAAAACGTTGATTTGTTTTGACACGTCTCTCAACTTCTTGATCCATCCCCGTCCTCGCTGTCTTGGTGCACACATTCACAACGCCATCATCAGCAAAAGCACTGCTCAGCGCACCAGCTCACAAAAAGAAGAAATGCCTCCTAAAACATGCACAAATAAAGGTAGATATTTTGCCATTGGATCTACTCAAATCCTCAAAAAGCATTGAGCTTGAAAACAAAAAATATTGACAATTTTTCAAACTTAGGCTGTGGCAAACAGTACGAAGAAGAGGACAACACCGACACATCCTGCGAACATCATTCTGGTGGCCCTATATTCCATGAAGGACTTAAGGTAACGTCTTGTCTTTCGCAAAGCTTGCATCAAACTCATTTAGTGGAAGCTAATGGAAATTTCAAAACCCAATGTAGGGATGGTCATGCTGTACTAAACGAGTCACGGATTTCGATGAAATGTTTAAGGTTGGCTGCTTTTCATGATGGATCCATTGTGGTCTCATTGCTCCTGATATATTGTGTATATTTTTGCTTGACCAAAACCACTCAACTCCTTTTCACAAACAGATCGCTGGATGTGCAGTCGGAAAGCACTCTGACGTAAAAATCGCACCTCCACTAAAAGAAAAGCCACAACCTGAATCTACCACTCAACCTACACTGCTTCAACCATCAACAACACAAGATGGAGTTGAGGTATATGGAAGCACTGTCACAAGCAGTGCTCCATCAGATACATCTATAACACCTGCATTATCAGCAACAACGAGTAAAGCAGAGACCAAACCTGAAGTCAAGGAAGAAGATCTACATGACGCACCTGATGCAGTAATTGAAGTCAATACCAGGTGTAAGAGGCTGGGATGCAGGGACGGAGTGTATCGCGATGAGGCGTCAAAGCAGGAAGAATGTGTGTTTCATTCTGGGAGTCCGATATTTCATGAAGGGAGCAAGGTACTGCCTTGGATTGTTTTTGATGCTGTTGACTGTGGCTTTTTTCGTTGCTCACCCAACATATATTTTATTTACAGGGATGGAGTTGCTGTGGTCGCAAAGTCCTTGAATTTGATGAATTCCTCAAGCTCCAAGGCTGCAAACAGGGTAAACATCGATTTACGGATGTGCTAAGTGGAGATCCAAACGAAGAGGTGTTGGTTGCGTGTCGAAATGATTGGTTTCAGACCCCTACGACTGTTACGTTTTCAGTGTTTGCAAAGAAGGTGGATAAGAGTAGGACACGTGTCGAATTTGGAACTGAGGATGTGAGTGCAGGTTGAGAGCCTGCTTGTCTCGTTGTGGATTCTGTACTAACTTTTTTGGGTCTGGGTGTTAGATAAGTATATATGTCAAATTCTTGGATGGCAAGGCACACAAATACTCGACAGCACTGTCTCAGGTATGTGTATCGTGCAAGACAACCATCATCCGATAGGAATGGCCCAGTGACTTACCATGCAACTCTTTTAGCCCATCAAACCAGCAGAATGCAAGTTTGAGGTTCTCAGCACCAAGGTGGAGATCGTCATGAAAAAGGCCAATGGTGTTGCATGGGCAAGTATAGAGCCCAATGATAATATGGGTGGCCAAAATATCACGTTCGGAGTGACTGGAGGTACTGGTACCGTAGGAGGAAAAGAGGCAATCATCGCGGGAGATAGCGCATTGCTATCAAGAAAGAAGTGAATTATATAGATTAAATAGAGTCGTTTTCAACGAATCTTTGTGTTGGTAAACGTTTTAAATCAGTCAGACGGAACGGTCCTGAGGCGAGTTCAGAGGTAACATATGTTTGCTTAACTGATTAACGCGTAAAATCACGTAAATAAGTGTATCCTGAGCCTTGACGAGAAAGCTGTTTTGATCTGGAGATTTGATTCGTGTTTTGGGTTAAAAGGACGGGCAACCCACTAACCGGTTTTAAGCTTTTAGGTACAACCAAGGCTAGCAAAGGCATTTTCTAGTTTCAATCAGAGCGTATAAGAAGAGAGAGAAGCTGGTTCATCTCTCGAAAAGTTGCCACTTGTCCTGTGCAACAAAGTTTGAGGCGTTACCACAAGCTTACGAAACCAACTCCTTAGATACTAGAACAAGTATATAAAAGGAAGACGCACGAGATGAGTGCCGCTATAACAGCTTCCAAACATGCCTCCATGCCAGTTACCGAACCTACAAGCTTGAGCAATCCTCAACGATTCTCGGATATCAGCTCGAAACTGGTTGAACGATTCAATGCTAGGCCCAGCAGTGAGATATTGGCTGCTCATTACAAGTCTCCTGAAGCTGAAGGTGAGCTATGAGTATCATTACTGTATTTGGAGGGGGCCATTTGAGTAGAGATGAAAACCATCTCCGTGTACATTTCCGTGCGGTGTTTGTTTTGTGGGGCGTACAGTCTAAGGAAGCATGACGAGCAATAAAGGATATATGGTGCCATGCAGTTTATCGAGCTGGATTTGCATAAGGGAGGCTGGATTGTGTGGCTTCTCAATATTGCTTGAGTGGGAAGGGTCGCTCCTTCAAACAACATCTCACACCCAATGATACATCTATACTAACATATTTATATTCTGCATATTCTATTCAGCAATCGACAAATGGTTCGAAGACCTATCCAAGTACGAAACAACACTCGATCAAATGGCAAAAGCAAAACTGGACGAGAACTTTAGGGAAGAGTTAAAAGCCATTGAACAATGGTTTACCGTACTCTCTGATCCAGAACGCACAACCGCTCTATATACGCTACTACTACACACAAATCCCGTCCAAATCAGATTCTTTTTGAACGTGTTGACTCAGATGAATGAAAACTCGCAGATTCCTGGTGGTGCTGCTGGAGCTGCTGCTGCGGCGGCTGCTGCAGGTGGTGCTTCGACACCTGTACCTGGTGGTGGTACTACTAGTAGTAGTAATAAAGGAGCTGCGCCATCCCCTGCTGCATCACCACGACCAAATCCGATCGGATCGCCGATACAACGAGGTGCTGATGAACATGATACTGCAGGAGCAGGTGCAGCATCAAGGTCTCGTCGTCCACTATACGATCGACATTCTGCACCACAGGATGGTAGTCTAGGTGTAGGTTTACTTGCATTCTCGGCATCAATGGCATCTGCTTCGTCTCGTCTTCCTCACGATGGTAGTACCACAGCAACAGGATTGGATGATGGATTTGGTGAATATGATAATCGACGTCTGTCAGCACAAAGTATCTCATCAACTTCCTCGTCAAGAGCAGTATCACCATCCATGCGTCCCAAAACACCCGAAAACGGAATGATGGATTGGAATAATACTAGTGATCGAACACCAAAAGAACGAACAACGAGCTTGAAACGAATGGGATTGGGTATTGATCCTGTTGGTCTTGGATTGGCTATGGCTAGCATGAGTGTGACGCCACCCGCACCATTGACTACACCGCCATCGTCTATAAAGGGCAGTGGTACCAGTAACGGATATCGATTAGCTGATATGCCATTAATAGCTCCACGAGGAAGTAGTCTCGTTAGTGATGAAGCTGGAGTGGTTGCTGCTGAAGTCGCTAATATGGCACTTGCACCTCCATCTGTCGTAAGTAGTAGTAAAACACCAACTCCAGCTGCTACAGGTTTTGCAACACCACGCCCAACACCAGGAGCATCTCGTCCGATAACACCAATCGGTATACGATCACCTGCATCAACAGCCAATCTCGTATATACCCCAAACAGCAGCACATCCACATCCGCTCGCTCTACCACCAACACAACAACAAACATGTCCCCACCACACGACCCATCCATGCCAAACCTCCCCAGTATGAACATATCCCCACCACACCCACTCACATATATCCCACCGCCACATCATCAACATCCACACCACCATCACCTCGTATCGCAATCATCGCACTCGTCTCTACATTCACAATCTGATATTCTACAACGAGGTCCACAAATGCATCCTGGACAAGGGTGGGGACACATAGATATGGCCAAGACACGACCTGGACAGCAACTGTATGCCACGTCGGATTACTCTGATGGTGCTGAAGATGGAATGTTTGATGGTGGGAACAGTGAGTTTTATAATGATGGTGGGGCTGGCGGTATGGGTGGTGGTGGTATGAAGGGACGGGCACGTAATGGGTCGGTTGGGTCTGCTGGACATAAGGAGAAGGGCAAGATACCTGAGAGTATGGACTTGGAGGCTTTGAATGGTGAGTGTGAATTTATGTTATTCTTGATTAGCGGTAATGAGGGTGGTGAGGAGCAATTATACAAGACGTACCACAGCCTTCCTAGATACTGCACTCGTACTTACTAAATTTTTGCTCTGGTCTCTCTTGATATCCCTTCTTTATCAACTCCATTCTCACGACCCCCTTTGCTCTCTCCATCACAGATGTACCATCATGGCTACGATCTCTCCGCCTTCACAAATACACTCCCATATTCGAAGGTATGACTCTCAAGGAACTCGTCCAACTCTCGGATGAAGACTTGTCTACCAAAGGTGTCTCCGCGCTAGGAGCAAGACGCAAACTGACAAAAGTCTTTGAAATGGTCAAGTGAGTATCAAAGTGGTTTTGAAAAGAGTCGTCTCTATAAGTTGCTGTTGACTGAGTCTTTTTTTTGGCCTGCTTTTTTTAGAGCCCAATTAGATGCCAAAGGAATATCAACTTAAATGGCAACTCTTGCACATTCCTCATATATATTCTTTTCTCCCCTTTACTGGCTCATCCATCCTCATATAATTGGAAAAACATGTACTCAAAACCAACCTATAGCTCTCTATTTTCTTGGAAGATTGATCTCAAATATGGACGCACAAATGCATCGCTGGTTGCTGCAGATGATCATTTATCCCTTTTGGTTATGGACTGTTGAAATGTATATAGCTTAGCATAGAAGTAATCCGTAGTGGTTGCGCAGTATTTTTTCTGGCTTGCTAGAAAATAGAAAACGCCGTAGCTAAACAGAAATGAACGTGTTATCTGTTATTTGCGATGTGTTTAGCATTGTATATCACGCTTATGGAACGTGGTGTGTTTGGTATGACTTGTCTGAGTTTGAAAAAACTGCAAGCAATTCTTCTGCATCACAAAAAAACCAAACATCAAACATCATATTGCCCAACCGATAAAACCCCAATAAGTCATAAAAGATGTCGCTATGGGGCGGCCGCTTCACAGGCAAAACGGACCCTCTCATGGAAGCCTTCAACGCGTCCTTCTCCTTTGACCAACGCATGTGGTCTGCCGACATTCGAGGCTCTCAAGCATACGCTAAAGCCCTCTCACTCAACCACATAATCACGCCCTCCGAACGCGACGCTCTCGTATCCGGCCTCGACCAAGTACACCAAGAATGGAGCACCAACAGCTTCATCGCCAAACCATCGGACGAAGACATCCATACAGCCAACGAACGACGATTAAGTGAGCTTGTTGGAACTGTAGCTGGGAAACTGCATACGGGACGTAGTAGGAATGATCAGGTTGCTACTGATTTGAGGATATGGGTGCGGGAAGAGTCAAAGAAGGTGTTGTCCTATTTGAAGGATTTGGTTAATGTTGCTGTGAATCGCGCCGAGCAGGAGATTGGGGTTATCATGCCTGGATACACGCATCTGCAGCGTGCACAGCCAATTAGATGGTCGCATTGGCTGTTATCGTATGCGTGGTCGTGGAAGGCTGATTATGATCGTCTCGCACAGCTCGTTGAGCGTAATAACTCGTTACCTTTGGGATCTGGAGCACTAGCAGGCAACGTGTTTGGAATAAATAGGGATTTCCTGGCTTCTGAATTGGGGTTTACGAATGTGATGCCCAACTCGCTGTATGGAGTGTCCGATCGGGATTTCGTGGCTGAATGGTTGTTTTGGAGTAGCTTGAATATGATTCACTTGTCGAGATTTGCAGAGGATTTGATACTGTATAGTACGGGAGAATTTGGGTTTGTCAGGTTGGCGGATGCATATAGTACGGGAAGTAGTTTGATGCCGCAGAAAAAGAATCCGGATTCGTTGGAGCTTATTAGGGGGAAGAGTGGGAGGGTTTATGGTGATGTGAGTACAATATGTGAGATGGTTTGTGAATTGGAATTGGTATTTAATTTGAACGTCTGTGTTTAGATGGCTGGATTCTTGATGACATTGAAGGGACTGCCAAGTACATACAACAAGGACTTGCAAGAAGACAAGGAACCATTGTTCGATGCTGTAGATACAGTATCCGGATGTCTACAAATATCTACTGGTGTATTGTCCACTCTTACTGTAAGTAGCATCATCCGTTGCTAGTGTGTTTTTGCTCGCAATTCCAAAACTCCATTCCAACATAGATAAACTCCGAAAAAATGTCCTCAAACCTCTCCATGGACATGCTCGCAACAGACCTCGCCGAATATCTCGTCCGTAAAGGTGTCCCCTTCCGTGAAACCCACCACGTCGCAGGACACGCAGTCCGACTCGCTGAAGAACGGGGTGTTGGAATTGACAAGCTGTCTGTTGCAGATTATAAAAAGCTGCATCCATCTTTTGAGGAAGATGTGAGTGCGATATTTGATTATGAAAAGAGTATTGAAAACCGCAATGCTGCTGGTGGGACTTCGAGGGTAACTGTGTTGACGCAGATTCAGCAGTTGAGGGTTTGGATGAAGGATTTATAAAGTAAAGAGGCGGCGGTAATAGAACAATAGAGATGTGGTTTGGCATGTAGAGTACATTGCGTTACGCGTCAGGTTTGCGTCCTTTTTCGGGTTTCTGGATTTGCAACTCACAACTAAGATCTTGAACAAACTGAAGTTCCAGCTGATGCCATGACGGCATTGAATATCGCGTTCGTACATCCTGATTTAGGAATAGGTATGAGCGTTACCCTGCCCTTTATATAGTCGCGAAACTTGAACAAATAATGACAAAACGGAATTTCTTTAGGGGGAGCAGAACGACTTGTCGTCGATGCAGCGATCGGATTACAGTCCCGCGGCCATAAAATCGCATTCTACACATCGCATCACGATATCGATCACTGCTTTGATGAGACTCGAGATGGTAAAATCACACAACATTTAGCAATCATGAATTTGATGTGTTTCGAACACAAACTCTCATTTTTTCTCATGCTGATACTCTAAACTTATTAGGAACATTAAAAGTAGCCGTATTCGGTGACTTTCTACCACGCTCCATCCTAAAACGTGGTCATGTGGTGTTTGCAATGATACGATCCTTGTATCTTGCAATGATCATGGTGTTGCTTCAGCCTCGTTACGATGTGATTTTCGTGGATCAGGTATCTGCCAGTATTCCTATATTGAGGCTGACTGGATCTAAGGTGTGTGTGTTGAAGTGTTGGCAACCGTGACATTGCTTCTGCAAACCAGTTCACATTGTTTTTGGCATTGGGATAGATTCTGTTTTATTGCCACTTCCCAGACAAGCTATTGAGCACTCGAGAGAGCTTGGTTAAGAGGATTTATAGAGCTCCTGTGGATTACGCTGAAGAACTGACCACTAGTGAGTCCTTTCGTTTGTCAACGTATGGTTCTAAATCCTCTCTCCTTTTTTTTGTCTCTGATATTCACAATCATATCTCTTCTCAACATAGAAATGTCGGACGAAATCCTCGTAAACAGCGCCTTCACAGCATCAGTCTTCAAAACATCCTTCCCACGAATACGGAAATCACCAAGAGTGTTACATCCTGGACTTCAAGTTAATGCATATAGACAAGAAATTGATTTGGATGATGTGTCTGTGAAGCCTATCATATCGTAAGAGTTGGTATTAATCGATAGAGGTTGATTTTTTCTCGCTTACACTTGATTTAGAGACAAAATCACATTCCTATCGATAAATCGATTTGAACGAAAGAAGAACTTGGCTTTGGCTATTCAGGCTTTTGCTGAAGTTTGCAAGTTGTTTGAAAAGGGGAAGATGAGGCTTCTTATGGCAGGTTCGTGTCAGTCCTTGAATCTAAGGGCTCGGTGATTTTACCGATTTGTTCAACAAAAGTCTTGGACTCTCTCAATTAGGAGGTTATGATCCTCGCGTCACGGAAAACGTAGAATACATGGCTGAATTAGAAGCTCTTGCCAGACAACTGAGTCTCACTACACACACGCTCACATCACCTAATTTGAAAGCAATACCAGCCAAAGATACAAACATCCTCTTCCTCCCGTCCTTCACACACGCCCAGCGCACATACCTCCTAAACACCTCAACATGTCTCCTCTACACACCCCAAAACGAACATTTCGGAATCGTGCCACTAGAAGCAATGATATCATCCCTCATAGTTATAGCGTCAAATACAGGTGGTCCGAAAGAATCCGTTGTGGATAACGTTACTGGGTATCTTGTTGATGATACGATATCTGGGTTTGCTGATGCGATGGGGACAGTGCTTGGCAAGTCGGTTGATGAGAGGAGGGAGATGGGAAGGATGGGACGTGAGCGTGTTGAAGAGTTGTTTTCGTTGAGGAGGTTTACGGATATGCTGGAAGGGGTGCTGAGGGATGTGTGCGATGGGAGGTGTGGGGATGAAGGTGAGAGAACTTTTAACGAGTTTGTGAGGTTGGTTATTGGGGTTTGTGTTGTTTTGGTGGGAGTGTTTTGGTGGGGTCTGCATGGCAACTTTGTGAGGAAATATACACGTACGAATTGAATTTCCGTTATCGGTCCATAGCAATACCACTGGTCACGCAATGGCTTCCATCTGACAGCCAGCCAAGTCGTCTTTTTCGTTCAATTGTGGATGACGTTACTGGATATCTTGTTGATACGATATCTGGGTTTGATGCGATGGGGACGGTGCTTGGCAAGTCGGTTGATGAGAGGAGGGTTGGGTTTAGAGTCACCGTTACAGTTATAATATGTACTGCACGAGATTTCTCGCTCCTAAGTGTGCTCAATGTGACCTTCGAAGAAAACAGTCTGGAAAAAAAGGCAAAAAAGGACACAATATGCAGGTATCGATCCATGTGACATTCATTACGTAATGAGCTAAACCTAGACAACCAGTGCAACATTTTAAAAAAGTCGTCCTACATCATCGTCGAAAGGGACCCTCCCAAAGCGACTACAGAGAAATTGTCAGATGGGGACCATTCCATGACTAGCAACAATATTGTCAAAACAGGCCACGATCTAGGCTATGCTCGTATCATCACCTATCACCATCATCACTGATACTTCGCCAAGAATTGAGATAATTTACAAGACACAACGGACCGTTTAGAGGTGGTTGCAATAAAGGTAATTCAAAAATGTCAGAGTGCAGTCTTGTGGCTGACAGGCGAAAAAGGGCCAACCACTAGAGTCAATGATCAAAAATTAAACTTGGTCCCTATGAGGGTCGAACTCATGACCTTAGCGTTATTAGCACTACGCTCTAACCAACTGAGCTAAGGGACCGTGGTTACTTAATAAGACATGGTTTCAACAGATTTGATGACTGTGGCATAGCCTCACCCGTTTGATTTACTGCCCGCGCAAACGTAATTCCATTAACATATGGGGAGTAGTTAGCAACTTTAGTNNATCGTAAATTTGCGGGACTATAATCCCAATAGAATGCATGAGCCAAAAAAAACGCGGCCTACTTGTTGTTAATATACGGGGGGAGCAAGTATGACAGAGATGTACTTGAACGTCGACCTGTAAGCCACGTGCAAGCTCAATTCCAACGTATTTACTCTCCTCAATGCATATCAACCCCGCTCTTCTTGTAGCCCTAGTAGTGGTATGGGACCGCCACTTCAAGTGCAAAATCCAGATGGATTCCACTCAGCTGGTCAAATCAAGACGCGCAATCTGTAAGTACACATCATTTTTCTATCATATATGTCTTCATCTGAAGCAGCTGAGCTGTGATGAAGCTCTTGTTTGTCATCATTTTCATCGACATGTGATGTCGCAAACTTCATTTGATCGACATACGGCTGCGTCTCAAGTTAAAACGCCTTTTGAATGATCAAAACAACGCATTCGTCATTATCTAACCCGTATACCACATTGACATTAGAATGGTCTCTGGCATGCCAAACATGCGATCTATATTGGATCTATTCTCAAAGTATGGAGAAGTCACTGGCATCATCTTCATTGTTGAATCAAAACAAACCGCTCTTGTGATCATGGGAAACTGTCAACAAGCTTCTGCTGCACAAGGTGCTCTCAATGGCGTTGCCCTTGGTGATGGAAGGTACTACTGTCACATTCTCATTTATCGATTGGAGTGCAGATGAATGCGCAATGATCTATTCAACTTATATTTCATATATCGTTGACCTTATGATTCAATTTGATCATACCAGTCGCTCTCGCCTGTCATCTCCTCTTGTTTTTGCTGTCATCAATTGCGCATTTGCCTCATCAAACACACCTCTCCTTACCAGATACATGGAAGTACGAGCTGCTGATGACAACCTTGGTAGTCTTCTCAATCAATTTGAAATGGACCCTGCAGCTCCGCAAATCCCAGAACCATCAGCATTTCCTTCACCAGAGCCTCAAAGTTTCCAATCAGCATCTCCCACCCACGAACCAATTGTACCGTATCACGACCCAACAAAATATCTCATCGAAGGAATATGTCGCACATTCGACACTTATGTTGCTGAGAAGGCAGATAGTGAAGAAATACGTGATGATCTCGAACACTACAATACTGAGGAAATGGATGGAATGCTACAACAGGACGGTGGTGGCTACGTTGATAAGTACACTACTCGAAGGGGACGTTACCGACCTTACTAAATGCAAGAGGACTCTGTCTCGCGCTATTTCAGTGTTAGTTTTCGTGCAAGTCTAGGATCTCGCTATGTTATTATTGAATCTTTGCTGGACATTTTTAGAACTGGATCAACTTCTCTCCTCTGCTTTTGGCTTATTGCAATTTGTTGTGGACTATATTATTTGATTTGGCTTATCGCAAGTTGCTGTGGACTATATTATTTGATGCTAAGCCATAGTTTGTAAAAGAAACCGCCCAAAACTGAATAGACCCTCCATCTTAATCTGGTCAATCTCTAAGAAACCTTGGCCCTCTTGCCAAAATGCTGCTGTAGCATTACACTTTCGAAGCAAGCTTGAGACCTTACAGATTTTCTGCTGCAAAAGTTTTATGCTGCAGCGTTTCTTGATCTTTGCTAGGGATGGCTGCATCTTCAGAGATAGACGAGTCTGTTCTCACGTAGCAACGTCCTCCAGCATGTTTGGAAAGTTGCAGCCACGTCAGCAAAAAAAAAACTAGAAAGAGAGAATGCTTTGTTCACATGAAATGCCCTTGCATTTTCTCAACAATTCCCCATTAGACACACAAACAACAAAGACCACCACAAACCAATCACCAAACCACTGTTAGATTGAACCTGTAAACACACCACGATTACGACCATGAGATGCAATCTGAGCCGACACAGTAGTCGTATCAGGACGTTCAGCAGACCATGCCCAGATATAATCACCAGACGATTCAGTAGTGAAGTTCTTTGGCACATGCAGAGTTACAGCCCAGATATCACCACTAACAGCTGCCTGCACGTTTGAGACTGATGTAGCGGCTTCATTGTCAAGTGGTTCGGCATACTAGCAAAAGAGAGTGTAGGTTTCAATGAGCATCATTATCTGCCACGAGATTTTATCACGCAAAAAAAAATGAGGATAGAATTCCTAACGTACTTTGGCACCATTATTAGCAGCTCCAACACGTTCAGAAACAACCACATTACTCCCTCCACCATTACCAGGCCACAATACAACCATCTTGGAACCAACCATTGCATGCCCAAAGCCAATTCCAGCCCATCCGATTTGACTAGATGCGTTTACCGCTACATGGTAACCTCCGTCGTTTGAACTGATGGTGTAGCAGGGCCCATTGTTTTCAGAGCAGAATGCGTATATGTCGTCACAGAATACGAGGAGGATGACTGTGAGTGAGATGAGAAGGCTGGAGGTGAGAGGTGGGGGGACATGAGTTAGAAGATGGGATGTATGGAAAGCGAGTTGTTCAAAATGGCTGACGTACCATCCTTGGACTTGAGCCTTCATGATTGATAGTATGGCTTGATTTAGATGGGAGATTGTCCAAGTGAGAATGAGAATTGTCCTGAATGTTTGAAGATCAGTTGATTCAGGTGGATGTAGTGTCACTTTGACATTTGGTGTTCCTTTCCCAGTCTTTTTTCCCCACTAACACATCAACACACGCATGTGAAACCCCAAGAATTTTCAGCATAATTCCAAAATCGTTTATTCTTTAAACTTTGGGATCGAGCTTTAGAGCCTTACAAGTCTCCTGCCATAACGTTTCTTGAGCTTTGAGATCCCGTGCTTGTGGGTTTGATGCGGGTTTGGAAGCACATTCTTCCCAGTATTCTCCGCTCTTCCTTTCACATTCATCTCCCAACGCAGCTTCGAGTGTAGTTTGAGCTCCTTGCCAAGGAGATTTGAAGAGGAGGAGGATGCTAAGGAACGGTCAGGTCAATAATGGAATTTCTGCGACGAATCGCGATTCGATTGTTTCTTACAGTGGATAGAAAAAGTCATATGTAGCTCCAATATACCACTTTTGTTTCACATGACGAGCCATATTCGATCGGACCTGTGATAAAAAGCAAACGTTTGAGGAAGACCCCAAGCGAAAAAAGACAATATTGTGCGAATGCATGTCCCTACCACTCCAGGATGCACGGCAGCCGTCACTATCTGATATTTTCTGAAAAGTCTTGCAGTGATGGCACTGTGAAGGATTTGCGCCAGCTTTGTATTCGCATACATCTGATCTAAGTGGACAAATCAATGTCAGCAAAAAGACCGCAAACTGCATGGAAAATATGCAACTGCACGTAAAAACACTTACGAGCTTCATAGAGATTCCACTCCTTTCCTGGAAGTTGAACTGCAAAGTTGGATACATCCAAATTGGATACACCATGTGAGCCACTCGAGACATTTATGATTCGACCAGGAGCGCTCTTCTTCATGACATCCAGTAATAGGTATTGAAGCAAGAAATGGCCTATGTTGAACAATTATCAGTCTGCGGCGCAAAAAAAAAAACTAGAAAACTGCTACAGAATGAACTTACTGAGGTAGTTCACTTGCATCATGGTCTCAAAGTTATCTTCGGTGACAGCTCTCTGTGGCATGATGACGCCAGCATTGCAAATCAAATAGTGTAAGGGTCTGCCAGATCTCTTCCATCGGTCAGCGAATTCGCGGACTGACTTTAGGCTCGACAAGTCGAGTTCTTCTTGAAACAGCATGTCGGAAACGTTTCTATAATGCTGTCAAGAGTCAAATATACCATCCGGGTGGCTACAACATACACAGACACTCACTCTCCACGACTTCCCAGCTGCTTGTAGAAATCCCTCATAGCATTTGAATAATTTGATGATGAACGCTTGCCAGCTATACAGACTCTTGATCCTTGGCGTGCGAATCTAAGAGCAGTTTCAAATCCAATTCCAGAGGATGCACCCGTGACAATAGTTATGGTTCCCTTCAAATCGCGAGTAAGAGCCTGTTTGCTGGCGGTTTTGCCAGCGACCCAGTTCCTAAACATTGAGCCCAGGATCCAGGCCACAATTGACCAGAAGATCGCAGGTTGAACTAGAGCGGTAAAGGGAAGAAAGTTAGGGCCCAATGGTTTCAAACATGATGGTCGAATTGTGAGTGTTTACTGAAAACCGATCCAGCTGATGTGCCGGTCATGTCATCAACTCTTCGGGCAGCCCATGCCAGGTATACGTCCACTTGATGGAATTGCCTGTACACCATCTCTATATATTCTTCGAACATGGTGACCAAATGTGCGAGCCTGAAAGTTATGGATGGAGAGATCAGAGATTAGATTATAGGGAATGAAATAAAGATTTTCGTCAAGATCTTTAGAGAGAGTTTAGTTCGAAACGTGCTAAAAGTGCAGCATGTAACATCGTTCATGGAATAGACATTTGCCAACAAAAACGTAAACA